CAAGCTGGGATTGTTCAACTTTCCTGACCCCTCAAGCTCAGTGCAGGGCGGAAGGTGCTGTCTCCCCTTCCTTCCCACAGTGGCAGGCTGGCAGCAAGGCCACGCTGTAACAGAGGGCACAGACACGCACTTCCCCACCATGTGAGCTGTATTCCCAGCCCTGCCTTCTATCAAGAATGACAAGGTAATTATAAGGCTTCCTACACAAGTTATGCAGGCCGCCAGGCTCTGCCTATCCTGATGCAGGTCTCCTGTGTTGTGAAGCAGTTCTTTCCTGCTGCATTCATAGGTATGGCTATACTGCACTCTGCAAATTTCACTCCCAAATTGCTTAAAGGTGCTGAGATAGTCTACTTCCATGACAAATCCTGGGGCCACGACCAACCAGTACTGGGAGGAAGTGGTGACGCTTAGTGTGCATGTTAGTGCTGCTCCTATGGTTTGCATATCATTTTAGGAGCCCCCAAGTGTCCATATGTTCAAAGGCTTGTACCCCAAAGTCTTATGGTAAAGCTTAATGGGCAAATGGGGAAAACGTAACGAAAGCATGGAGTCTAGGAGGCAGGAGACCCTTAGGTGGTGGCAGCGGTTGTCATGGCAGGATTGCTTGTAAGAGTTGAGCTGGCCTAGCCACTCTCAGTCATCTGAAAAGCCATCTGCCTGAATGCTCTGCCCCGCACACCACGTGGATCTCAGCTCCAAAATGGGAAGCAGCAACAAATCCTCTTCCTTCACATCTAACTTTTGTCAAGTGCTTGCTGTAGTGATGACAAAGTAACTAATTCATGTGCTAAGGTACAAAACTGGATGGCACATTCAAGGGTTAAAAGCATGTGTGTGGAATGGCCTGGATGGTACAGGCAAAAGGTTAGTTAACTGCAAACCCAACATGTACCAGCAGTGTGGTTCAGCCAGGAAGCCTGAAGATGGAATAAATTAGGCTATACTCTGGGTTTCCCTCCCCCCCCCCCATAAGGTTTAACATGGAACTTAATGAAATTTTTCAGCATTAAAATGAAGTTAAAGTGAAATATTTGAAGAGCTTTACAACAGTAAATTCGAATACTGCTGTGTTTTTTTACTTTCTTTCAGCAGAAACATATAATTTACCTTCAATAAAATGTACATGTATGTGTGTGTATATACATATGTATCTGTATTTAGTATTCAATGACTTTTGACAAAAACACGTTCGAACCCCTACCATTCAACACATTCCCATTAAGTTCCTGGTGGGCTTTTGCAGTTAGTCCCTCTTCTCCATAGGTAATTACTCCTCTGGTTCCTAGAAGCACACATTCTAGAACTTCATCCAAGCAAAGCTCTGCAGCTGGCTTGGTAGTGTATACATTATGCTCTGTTCCATTTTATTGCTGAGTCCCAGCTTGCATATATCAAATCCGTTTGGCCATTTTCCTTTTGATGCAAACTGGATGTGTTGACTATTATGAAGAGGGAAGAAGCAATATTTTTACATAAATCTTTAGCTAGACCTGTGCTGTTTTCTTCTTTGTGGCTCATAGGATATATGGATCTTAACTTCATAAAGAGCTGTCAAAATGTGGAGAAAAACGATCCCAAGGACGTCGTCCGCTTCCCCCGGGTAGCCCCCTGAGGAAACCTAAGGGCTGATCACTGTTACTAACAAAATCCACTTGAAAAGTTACAGTAAGCTAATAGGATTAAGGAAAAGCCCAGCATGGACTGATCACAACGGAGGTAGCTTTTGAGCCAGGATTGACTATAAATCATCTTACACTTCTGACCACAGTGTGATTTATGAAAAATCACGTAGAGAAAAAAATGCGTCTATCAGTATCATTGCCTCATAGCTACTTACAATGGCCAGAAAGCTCAATTTCCCACTGTTTTAAAATCAGTATCTTTGACAATAGGAAGAGAGTCAAGAGGAAGGCAATAATGTGATCATCTGTTAAATTCGGGGGCACTTTTGGAAAAAAAAATCAGTGGAACTCTGGTGGTTTTTTGTGAGGGCCTCTGAAAGTAAGAAGGCAGAACTGGAGAAGAAACCATGGGTCTAATATACAGGCAAGAAAACGTGCAGCTCTTACAATGGAGTGAAGATGTGTAGATTAACAATTTATCATTGCTTATTAAGTTCTTATTATATGTTAAACACAGGACTATGTATTTCCATATGTTGATTTATTTAATTCGTATAACAACATTACAAAATAAGTAATATTAACTTCTTAATGTAATGGGAGAGGAAAGTGAAATTCTAAAAGGTTAAATAACTTGCCTAAAGGCACAGCTATTAGTGGAGTTAAAATTTGAACCCAACCGTGCACTGGCAAAGCTACACTTCACTAAGAAAATTGAAGGGCTGGCACGGTGTAGTGGCTGAAGCTGCTAGCAGCAATGCTGATCCCTTATATGGGCGGCAGTTCATGTCTCAGCTGCCCTACTTCTGATCCACCTCCTACTGCATCTGGGAAAGCAGTGGAGGAAGGCCAAGTGCTGTGCAGGCGCAGGGAGCTGGGATGCCGCTGCTGGTTCTGGCCCGGCCGCAGCTGCGGTAATCGGCTGGGGAGTGACCCTGTGGATAAAAGGCCAGCCTCTGACTCTCCCCTTCTCGCTCTCAAATAAATAAAACAATGCATGTATGTGTGTGTTATAGGGTAATCAACTAGTCTTTCAGACATAAAAACAAATTTCACTGGGATAAAATTCTGTTGGAGAAGTGGAATGGAAATGTGAGACTGAAAATGGAAAAGCTGTAAATGGCTTTTCCTGTTTCCTTCCTATGTCAACAAAGAGTCAGCCAATAGAAGGAGAAAACATTTACAAACTATGCCACTGTTAAAGGAATAATATCCAGGATCCATGAAGAGCTCAAGCAACCCGGTTCAGACATTGGCATAGGGCACGAACACACGGTTCTCAATGCAATCCAAATGACCAACATATGGACATAAATAAAAACCACAATCAAATTCTATCTCACCCCAATTAGAATGGTTATCAAAAAGAAATCAGGGGCCCGGCGAGGTGGCGCAGTGGTTAAGGTCCTCGCCTTGCACTCCCTGGGATCCCATATGGGCGCCGGTTCTATCCCGGCAGCCCCGCTTCCCATCCAGCTCCCTGCCTGTGGCCTGGGAAAGCAGTCGAGGACGGCCCAAAGCTTTGGGACCCTGCACCCGCGTGGGAGACCCGGAAGAGGCTCCTGGCTTCGGATCGGCACAGCATCGGCCGTTGCGCTCACTTAGGGAGTGAATCATCGGACGGAAGATCTTCCTCTCTGTCTCTCCTCTCTGTATATCCGCCTTTCCAATAAAAAATAAAATAAATCTTTAAAAAAAAAAAGAAATCAGAAAATAATAAATGCTGGAAAGGATGTGATGAAAAAGGTACCCTAATCCACTATTAATGAAAATGCAAACTAGTACAACAATTATGGAAGATCATATGGAAATTCCCCAGAAATGTGCAACTAGATCTGCCATATGACCAGTCACTCTCACTACTGAGAATTTATCCAAATGAAATGAAATCAACATATCAAAGAATTATCTCTATTCCCATGTTTATAACAGCTCAATTCACATTAGGTAAGATACAAAATAATCACAAATGTCCATCAACTGATGATAAAGCAACCCTGTGGAATACTACTCAGCTAGAGAAAGGATGAAATACAGCATTGTGCAACCAAATGGATTCAACTGGAAACTATTATGCTTAGTGCAATAAGCCAGTGCGCAAAAGACAGATATCGCATGTTCCCCCGATCTGTGATAACTAATACAGAGGGAACAAAACTCCCAGTAACTCATGTGAGTGAGATTGAAACGTAGGGATTTTGCTATTGTTCATAGGATTTGTTTATACTCTGAGGAATAGTTTTGCTTGTCTTCGTGCTATGTGTTGGTATCTTTACCTAATGCGGTGTTCAGAGAAGGGAAGATACTGCCCTGTAAAAGTCGGGGGTGGGGGAGGAGGAAGGCGAGCGGAACACTGGCAGGAGTGAGGGTGTATCCTGAAATATGTGAAACTTGTTCACTTCAGATAAGTAAAAAAGGAAAAGAAACACCGGAATTTTTCCTCCTACGTTGTTTTTTAAACAAACTACGGTAACTATGGTATTTCGATTTTGTTGAACGCACTGTAACGACTGACAGAGAAGCGTCTTTTTAACTGTCCTTATTTACAGTGCATTGGTAAGCCTCTTATTTATGTTTAAAGCTTATGGTAAAAAGTTAAAATGTTAACTGAAAAATGAATGAGGAAGTGATGCGTTTTCAAAATCCTTTTGTTGTGGCAGCTAAGTTTTGAAGATGAATGTAATGGACAAAGAACACAAGTTTGAGTTCTTTGACTTTGTCCAGCACCCAGGACACACAACGCTTTCAGTCCCCGTTTGGAGATGCGGGGACGCTCACGCGCTGAAGGAGGACCGCAGCCAGCCACACCAGACTTCCTAACTTGGCAGGCATAGCACACAAACCTTCCGACGCTGTAGCCTCATTCCCTCTGCCCACAGAGTAGCTTCAACTAGACCTCTGAAACCAGCAAAGCGAGGCGCGTTTAACGAGCCCTGATTGGGATCCTCCACAGCTGGCACTCCTCTACAGCCACCGACCCCGGGGCACGAGGGCTTGCCTTTCTTTTGCTCCCCATTACGCAGGAATTTTGCCCCAGCTCGCTGTCTCAGACAAGCATATGAACAGGAAAGGCACCTCTGTTGGGCAAGGGCTGACAACCTGTCGCGGAAGGAAGGGCGCTGGCACAAGGACCAGGAGGTCCTGCAACTAGAGTATTGTCGAGTTCCCAGACTCCACTCTCTCGCCTCCTTCCAGCTTCTTCAGACTGGCTCGGAATTAAGTCAATGCAACATAGATTGACAGGGGGAAAAGCCCAGTTTAAGGATAATCATGGAAGCCAATATGCACGCGCAAACGTGAAATGCCCCCTGCACAGCCAAATACACAACATGAATGCAGCGCAGATGGACCACAGAGCGAAGGGCTGACCAGTACCTGTGCTGACGAGGCTCTGGCCAACAGGCGGCACAGCAAGAAAAGTCCCAACTTCTTGAGCTGAAAGGCTGCGAACTCATCCCCAGCTGCCAGTACTTTTATAGCCTTTGCACACAGACCCGGATGCAACAGGTGCACTATGGGAAAGCAAGCATTTGGCAACGGGTGGGAGGGCAACACTGCTTTCAGCCATTCAGCACCCCACTCTAAACTAATTAACTGCTTGTGTCTCTGGCTCCACAGACCTATCTGGCTGCTTGCCTATCTGGCTCCGCAGGCCAAACTACTTCCCTATCCTGATTCCCAGACCAAACTTGCTGCTTGCCTATCCATATGAGACTACCGAACTGGTTGTTTGCTTATTTCACACTGCAGATCTAAGTAGCTAGTCACCTATCCAGCTCTGCTGCTCGCCTATCTGGATCCACAGAGCAAACTACTTTTCCCACATCATTAGCCACTCAGAGATTTTCATCTGTGACAGCCAATGGCTGTGTTCTCTGCAAATTAGCATTGTTCTGCAAAGCTTTGCGATTCTGAGACAGACACGTTTATCAATCAGAATGAATGTAATTGGAAAAGATAAAGTCACAGATGGAAACCCTTTAAGATACGAAAGGTATAAGCTATTGCTTCCAAAGTGACATATCATTAAACCATCTAGACTGGACACAAACACTTCTACTATCCTCTCCAGTGAGCCTGCTGCTGTTAGAGCAGACATCATTTACTTACTTAGACTTACAGAGAACTCTGGAGATCTGATGTACTCTCCAGATGACCACAATGGCCAGGGCGGAGCCAGGCCAAATCCCAGAGGCAGGAACTTCTTCCAGCTCACTCGCATGGATGCAGGAGCTCCAATACTTGGACCTTCTTCTGCTGGTTTGCCCAGACCATTAGCAGAAAGCTGAATCAGAGGAGGAGCAGCCAGGACTCGAACCAGTGCCTATATGGGATGTGAGCATTGTAATCAGTGATCTTTACCAACTACATCGCAAATCTGCTGTGCACGTGCCTCCTTGTAGCAGTGCACGTCGTAAGGCCAGCTGGCTGTGCAGGTGATCTTAGAGCATCCACAGACTTTAGTACTTGTTGGGAAGTACTAAAAGAAAACCTGTGGGAAAGTAGGCTGGGCTGCCCCAGGCAGTAGGTTTTTCGAAGTGGCTTTATGAAGATGTCAGCATCTTCTACAGTGATGAGAGAAATCACCAGAGAGGTTTACTTTCAATAGTGGCACCTGGCGGGAATCAGAAGAGCAGCAGAGAGCAGGCCGACTAGGCCTCTGGGTGCAGCCGTGTGTGAAGGCGCCCAAGCCAGAGGCTTCAGCTGTGACAGGACTGCCCTTGAGTGCATTGAGGTGTGTGCGGTTGCCGCCAGCTGGGCTGCAGCTGCTCAGAAGGGGCTCCTGCTGGGGAGATGGGCCGCAGGGGACCTGGAACGGGGAGAATTCTGTCACCACCCCAGAGGAGCCTTTTGGAATTGACCTCAGCCTGGAGATGCTAAGAGACCCGTAAGAACAGCAGGCAGCTGCCTGAGGAGCTGCTTCAGAGTGCTACTGCACATCAACAGAGCCCACTATCACTCCGGAGGGACCTTGGACAGCCCAAGGGAGGAATCCTGTCTTTGTACAGGAAATGCACCTGTCCATCCTGCAGAGTGGATCAAGAAAGCCCAGCAAGGATCTGTAGCTGTTTCTGAAGGCATGGCAGTAAAGTCTGTGTTGCAGCTTTATCACAGGTCCGTGAGCGAAGCAGGTGCCCTGATGTGAGCACTACGGTGATTTTGCCAACAGGGGACAGGAAGGAAAAACTTGCCTCACAACAGTGAGTCCTTTCCCTTCAAGTATCTGAGAAACCATTTCGCCAGCAGGATTCCTCTTCCTACCTGGGCAAACTTTTGCAGTTCCTTAATAATTTCTTCTTGAGAGGCCCCTAATAGATAACTTTGTGATCTAAAGTCCACCACCCAAAGGCGGGCTTTCCTATTACAGCCTGCTCAGGGGCTCCCCTGCAGGTTGATCTAGGTCTGCAGTGTTATTAACACGCAAAGCCCTGGAATTTTGTGAATCGCCACATTAGGGTAATTGGCCACTAGGTGGCACTCTCTCCATAGCAAACATGCCAGACAATGTGTGCTCTGGAGTGAACCAGTGGATGTAAGATCATTCTGTCCCTCCTTCTCTCACTAAATTGATGTTTCTAATAAAAAAACAAGTAAATTTGTGAAATAAAATTCTAATAGCAGCTATAAGAATTTATCTTAAGCCCTGAAGCTCCAGTGACCCCCCCCCCCCAAATTCTTAGGGGATTATACTGCCACTCCTAGGGCATTCAGTTCCTAAGCAATCTTAAATCCCATGTCTGGAGCATAGGCCTCAGCGTGCGGCCAGCATCCGAGCATGTCTGATTGGTGGAGCTGAAAAGCCCCAGCGTTTTGATTTCTTGAAGCTCATCCCTGCAGTGAGAGAAGCTTTGACTATGCATGAAATATTAGGTCTCATTTGGGTAGCAGAAACCACAGTTACAACTAGGAACCAAAGGTCAACTGCATTTGGAATGCGGCTGCCTCACAGCTACTAGTTGTCCCAGAGGGGTTGCAATGTCCATCAAAGCCTGACTAAACTGTGAGCAGACTGGCTGCCACCCAACACAGCCAGCCTACGTGTCCTGGAAAGGGCAGGCCAGAGGGGAGGGCCCTACTTCCTGACTACTTCTGCTAGAGAAGGAAGTCCCATCCCTCAGCGGCTGAATGTAATAATCAGATGACAGGAAATGGCTTTTCACCATCACCACTCGCATAAGCAAAGGGGAGGCTGGGAGGCCACGCAGGGAGCAAAGCCACGTTGGACCTGTGGTAACCAGCAGTTATGTTTCAACACTAACAACTGATGTGCACCACACCAAATATTAGTTCTGAAAACTTAACCGCACATCACGGTACAATGGCTGATGATGACAATTAGTGAGAATTCTGGTTTCTTTTTCACAACACTCACAGGCTGAGCCTCGTGCTGGTCTCCCACAGCTCTCAAGGCAAAAGCACGCACCTGGCTGGAGGTGCCCCACTCTGATGTGGGCAACGGGTTGATTCACTTTCCATCCAGATTCTGCTCTGCTGCACAGATGGGAATGTTAAGTGAGACCGCTATTGTGTATAAACAAGCACAGTCTATATTCCCACACACCTGCAGACGTTGTGACTGTGCCCTGCAGTTCGCTTGCTGCAAAGTCGGGCTGGAAAGATGGGGCCGATGCAGAAAGGGCTGCTCTCCTGTCTTCCGCTCCTTGTACAGCCTCTGCACGCAGGTTCCCAGACGGACAGCTACATTGCGGGAAGGTGGACATTTTGATCAACACGTAAGGGGTAAGGGGATAGTGGCAGCTTATGGCATCTGCTTGCCTATCTGGATCTGCACATGTAATCAGTTGGTTATTGGTCAACCTGTCTATTGGTTCCATGTCAAATATATGTCCACCATGTAAAGATAAATGAAAATGTGCTGATAAAGAATGCATCAATTCTGATTAGAACATGACCACTTTGAAACGCTTCCCAGGACTAAGAGTTGCTCAGCTTATGTCTCTGAGGACAAAGCCGTTCACACTCTTCCCCTGGTAATCCTACAGTAACTTCTTTCTAGAGCCTGTCAACAGTGCACATGTGTTCATGGATACCTGCCATGTGACGCACGCGCACAAACGGCAGATCATGGCCTCCTGTGTCATGACCAGCAGGTGGGTGAAGCTGACTCGGAGCGGTCCTCCCTTCTACAGACAGCATGGTCACAGTGTCGTCTTCACGTGTATCCACTGGTGAGAGAACAAAGCTAGTACCCACGCTTCCATCTGCTGAAAATGTGGAAATTATCCAACAGGAAAGTATGTGGAGAATGAACAATTTTAAATAACATCTCTGATTCAAGAACTGTTATCAGGGATAAACCCTCTCACATGTGAAAGAATCACTGAGTACTAACACTGGGAAAAAACTTTCTTTTTATATTTTTGATGGTAGCTTACTCTATCCTTCTTACTTCAACAATTATTGGGATCATTCTTGGGTAGAGAAAAAGAAGCTATGAGGTTTTCTACTCTGGGAAATGGAGAAAAATTCAACATGAACACTCAACTTATCAAGGATCTTGTAAGAGATCACATCTGTTCATCTGGGGTAATGTCAGGGGTAATTAATCATCAAGGAGTTTAATTGTTTTTTGATTCAGCTAATATTGTTTTGAGTGGTTAGAGCTGAATCCCAATTAGAGTAGTGAGCACAAAACAAGAAATGTGTAAATGGCAGAGCCAGTGCGTTTGAAGTACAAGAAGAAAAACAGCAAAAGCAAATGCTAGCTCTGGAGAGGAGACACACATACAAAAACTGCCCAGTTCACTTGCAGTCGTCTCTCGAATAAGCTAGAGCAGCGCAGGGCAGAGCCAGGGCGGGGAGAGCACAGGAGCAGGGCAAGGCTTTGTGTCCGGCCTTGAGACTCTCGGTCAAGCAAGGGAAGTTTATATTTCTCTGTATTTTCTTCATGTTAAAAAAAATCCCTCATCCCACCTTCTTACCATCTGAGCATTCCAGAAGACTGGCGCATACTGGAGAACCAGCAGCCAGAGAGAAACAAGTTGGGGTACGGATTGCTGGTCTGTTAGTGGCAGCCTTGTTTTGCTCTGAGTCTGCTGGCAATCTTCCCTCTAGGATGAATTGCCCAATCAATGAGTCCAAGCGCCCTAGAACAATGACAGCCCTGAAGAACAAGGACAGGCCTGAAGCACTGGGTGCGAGGCTTCACAACACAGGCCTGTTTTTTCCCCGTTGGTTTGTCAGAATGGTGACTGAATCATCGCGGGAGGTGGGAAGCCTTACCGCAGAGCAAGTGTGCCACTCAGCAATGCATTCACTTGCAAATAACCAAAGTCAGTTTCCCCACTAACACCTGTGCTTCTTCTCAACGGTGCTGAGAGGCAGGGTTTTTTTTTTTCTTAATTAATCTAGTTTTTCATCGTGACACTAAAATCCAGTGCAGTTAAGTAACATGTTCAAGTACACACTTCCAAATAATAGTCTTTCAGTATTTTTCAAGCAGTAAACAGACTTTAATCTCCCAAATTTTGTGGAAAATGTGTATTTTGAAAAAAAAAAAGCCTTCATGGATTTCAAAGTTTTTAGTACCAAAACAAACTAACTCATTACAAATGTGTCTGACAAAGA